GCTTCTATAGGAGACATGTAACGATCTCTATCAATATCTTTCTGAACTTGTTCAAATGGGCGACCAGTGGCATTCGCTATGATTTGTGTGACACTATTCTTGTTGTGCATAACTTCGCGGGCTTGGATTTCCACATCTATTGCTTGCCCACTGGCACCTCCAAGTGGTTGGTGTATCATAATTCGTGTGTTGGGCATTGCAAAGCGCTTGCCTTTGGTGCCACCACCAAGGATTATGGAAGTTGTTGATGCTGATATTCCAAGGGCAATTGTGGAGACATCAGCCCTCACAAGCTGCACAACATCATAGATAGCCATTGTAGCGCTGGTAAACGACAATGGCCAAAGTAAATTAGCAAAAAGGAAAAAAAAAGTAGAAACAAGATTAAGCTCAAGTAGACCCCAGACTTAGTTTTAGAGGTTGGAAAAGGGCTTCCCAAAAGATTGGATCCCAACCCACGATTGCCACACTCTGACTCCCCTACTCCAAACTCGAATTTTAACTTTGGATGGTCAAGAGATAAGAAAAAACCTCACATATGTTATCTTTGTCAACGGCGATTACACCTAAAGATAAGGCGAAGGGAAGACTACCAAATTTGTAAGAAGTCTGAGAGTTCTAGCCATCATAGGTCTTTGATGTTGAATCAGACATCTAGACTGACTTTCTCTAATTTCCAATTCCTTTTCGGAATGAACTTAATTTCAAAAAGTACAAAAAAGGGTAATACTACCATCATATTCACATGCATGAAAAAATTAAAAGAGTCCAATGAATACAACATTAAGCATCCTGAAAATTGCTTAGTATTTATATGGCAAAAAAGATGACCATTATCTCTGTGCAAATCCTAAGTTGTCATGTAGTAGATGCCCATTGCTTAACTGCTTCCTCTTCAGAAATTGGTTTTCTATATAGTCTCTTATTCCTCCAACTACACTACATCTAATCTAACGCATCCATTAACTTATTGTTATAACCCCATATGTGTCTCCTTAATGCCTGACAGCAGACAACTCACAACATAGGTGTTTCGCCAATGTCGACTTAATTCATCTATTACCAAAGGTATACATTAAGTGATCCCTTACAATAGTTGGTGTAAGAATCTGGTGATACAGGCCCTATCGTGTAAGTCGTCTTATCATTTGACTCCAAGCATAAGTCCATCATGCAAGTCTTTGATCAAGTTCAGACGTCTATCTTGTCTGCGACTCTCTTCTACAAGGCCACTAAATTATCCAACCGCCTAAGGGCCCTCCAGGTGTGTTTTTTCTCTCATGTGAAGACCATATGAAAGGTTATCAAAGCAAATAACTCTCCTGGACAATATGTCAAGCATAAATTAAAACTCAATTCCCAATATTCGTGCATAAAGTTAGCCTTTTCTAAACCACTATTATATTTTTTTCTATTTCTTCCTCATTAATTATATCAATCTAACACAACAACATAGTCCATTACAAAAAGCCACCACTGCCCACAAAATCTTGCACTCCCCAATTGCAATAGAATCATGCCCTTTATTCTCCTTTTCTTTCCTTTCAATTCAAAATAGCTTAGTTTCAGGCACACTACAATCCCAAATAAGCACAACTCTTATCTTGCTACAATAAATCAGTCCTTCCAACTTAATTCGCCAATCAACTTTTCCCCAAATGTTGTTTCCAAACCTTTGATACAATAAACATACGGAATTGAACTAAAACTAATTTATAGTTCATATATAAGTTCATACCTCAAAGACCCACCAGGAGAATTGATGAATAACCTAATATCTTTAGTTGGATCTTGAGCATCCAACAGAAGAAGCTGACTCATAATAGCATCAGCAACAAAATCATCAATCTGGTTTCCTAAGAACACAATCCTTTCCCTCAGCAATAGCCCCATGGCGTCGGCCTCAGCGCCGCGCATCGCGGTGGCCGGAGTCTGAGGAGCAGAGGATAAGAGGAGAGAGAGATTGCTGTATTCTTTGAGGTCGAAACCAACATTAGAGTTTGGGATTTTGGGGTTGGTGGATAAGGCGGGTTGGTAAGAAGAAAGTGAGGATTTGAGAGGTGGTGGATTATATGGGCGGGGAGAGAAAGTGGGTAGTTTGGAAAGAGGGTGTCGGAGTTTGAGAGATGTGGTGGAGGAGAGAGAGTGAGGGGAGAGGGCAGTCGAAAGAGTGAGTGAGTCCATCGTGGGGGTGGATTGAAGCGCGCACACACACGCAGACACAGAGAGAGAGAGAGAGAGAGAGAGCAACTGGGTTACTGATGGGAGTTGGAATAGAGGGCCATGGTCATGGCCACTGCAGGGTGAAAGTTTCTCACCAGCCCACATTCACATTAAATTCAAGCCTTGGATAAGGCCCAATTAGCCGACCCGTTAGCCCAGTATTATTACACACAGGGATACGATTATGGTTGTGTTTGGTCACAGGTTGTTTTCGTTTTTTTTTTTGTTTTTTTTTGGGAAATTACATCAAAGCCCCCTAAGGTTTGTCACTAATACAGACGGACCCTCTCAAGTATAAAATATAACACCACCACCCCCTAAAGTTTGATATGATGTAACAAATAACCCCCTAGTGTTAAAGTTTGTCCAGAGGACCGTTAAATCTCAATGAGTTCAACCAATTCTTGTAACAAAATTCCTAAATTACCCCTGAAATATCCATCAATTAAATCACTAAATATATATCTGCAAAACCCAAAATTTTTGAATTTGTAGCAAAACCTCCACCACTCTGTGCAGCCACCACACCATCCACCCCCGCCGAAGTCCCAACTGCCAACTCCACCAACTGACAAATTCTGCCACTCTCTCTCTCTCTCTCTCTCTCTCTCTCTCTCCACACAAAAACACCACACACGGGACACACTGGCGGGACCAAGCGATAAGGAAGAGGGTGTTGGGCAGGCGGGTGTGGTGATGTATTGATGGGTCTGGCTGGTCGGTGATATGGGTTTGATGGACGGTTTCGGTGATATGGCTGTTATGGTAGTGGCTTTGATGGTGGCTGTTATAGTGGTGGCTTTGATGGTGTCTGTAACAGAGAGAGAGAGAGAAGGGGTCGGTGGTGGGCAGTGGAAAGGGCGAAGGGAGAGGTTCTGTGTCGGTGGTAGACTGGTTTTATTTATTTTGAATAAGGGCAAAATAGTCCTAATATTTCCGTTAGATGGGTTAGTTGACCATGATAGGAGGTGTAATTGTAATATGTCATACCTGAGGGGATTTATGTGTTTTAGTGACAAAGTTCAAAGGGTGTAAATGTAATTTATCCTCTTTTTCTTTTTTTTTTTAATTTTTACCAGAAAAACACTTTCGGAGCATGTTTTTTTTTTAGCCAATTTGTTTTGTACACGATCCCCGTTTTTGAAAGGACATATTTAGGTGCTTTCAAAAACAAGGGAAATCGAAAACATACGCACCCCTCGTTCCCAATTAACGAGGTCTCGTCTTCGAACCCTATTAACAACACAAAAGGTATTTTTTTGTTCCAATTATAAAAAGACTTTTTTAACCCTTTTTTGTTTCTCTCGTTCGTCTCTCTCTTGTGACGTCTACGTAGGAAAGCGTCATCGATCAACTCAGCCTAGCGAAGGAAGCTCTAACGAGAAACACTGATTTGTCAGATTTTTTATTCTTTCCATCTTCATCTCCATCGATCTCTTTCTCTCTTTGACCCCTCATTTGAATTAATATTTTTAAAGTCTGGGTTTGTTATATACATGGGTTGAGTAGTGTTGGTGGCTAAATAGGGGGGTGGTGGTGGGTTTTCGGTGATTTTGGTGGTGTGTTTTTAGGGGTTTTGATAGTGGATTTTCAAGGGTGTTGGTGGTGGGTTGGGTGGTGGCTAAGCGGAGGTAGTGGTGGTGGGTTTTCGGTGATTTTGGTGGTGGGTTGGGTGGTGGCTAGACAAGGGTGGTAGTGGTAGATTTTCGGTGATTTTGGTGGTGGGTAAATAGATGGGTTAGGTGGTGACTAAACAGGGGTGGTGGTGCTGGATTTTTGGTGGTATTGGTGGTGGCGATGGTGGTTGGGTGGGGTGGGTGGAAATGTATTTGGCATTAAAAAATTAATCAAAATAATCACAATGAATTATGAAAACACTATTATAATACCAAACATAATTTTTTTTTTGTTTTCATAATTTTTTAAATATAAAATAATTACCAAACATGTTTTATATTTTTAATTTTCATCACAAAAAAAAATAATGAAAATGTTACCAAATGCAAACTATGTTATTGAAATTTTAGTTTTCGTAACATAGAAAAAAATAATTTTAACTGTTGATCCATAATCCAAAAAATAGTTATTACCAAGTAATGTTCATTTTAATATCCGGCTTGAACTATAATAAAATTGCATTTCTATACCAATGTGTAATTCTATGAAAGTAGGACAGTTATTCGCAGATATGTAATGGTGTTACCCTTACAACCACCACCACTCGACCACACTATCACTTTCAACCACCACCACCACCATTAGCCATTACTATGTAGGATTTACCTCCTCTTCCTATATGTAACACAACAGCAACAAAACCTTAGACAAACTTAACAGCAATTCAACCACCTAAATGCGATGACACCGATGGAAACATCTGTTTCACTAGCAAACAATGGAACAGTTCCTGTGTCCATGAGCTGTAGGAGTTCAAAAGAAATTAAACACAAAGTGAGGTCAAAGTTGGTGATAGAATTGGCCTGAATTTGCAGAACACAACCATGGCACAGTTACTTTCACTGGACCTCCTGATGGCTTTTTCATCCATAGCTCTTCTAGTGAAATCAATTCACAACATTTGTCCGAAGGGTGTTTGTTTGTTTTGAACAGAGGTAATCAAACAATAAAGCATAGCAAGAAGCAACCCTCATCAGATCAATGCTTTATAAAACAGCTAGAAAAGGGCAATAAATCTTCTCAGAACAAGAAAAGTAAATATAAATTCCTAACAACAAAAACATTGATAACCTAGCAGCTATTTCTTCCATATGTGAAGCTTAAAGATTTTCTTCCCCTTCTTGTGCGTCATCTGAAACTAGAAGATGATTAAGAGCAACCTTTGCCTTCTTCGATTCTGGCAAATTTTCCTTGATTTCACCTTCATCACCTTTCCTCTTGGCTGATTCATCTTTCTCTTTTTCAGCTTCTTCGTGCCTAGCCGCAGCAGCCTCACCATCAGAACCTTCTCCTTTTCCCTGTGACGACAATTTCAAATGAGCTGCTTCACCTTTATCTTTGCCATTCAAATCTCCTTTCTTGGATGCTGCTTCAGTTTCAACTAAAATTAAGCGGACTTCTTCACTGCTTGCAAGGTCAAGAGGGGTTTTCCCTGCTTTGGTCTTCGCATCCTTATTTGCACCTTTCTTCACCAAGTACTTGACAAGTTCCAGGTTGGACCCTTGAACAGCATAGTGAAGAGCGGTCATGCCCTTGCGATTGGAAGATTTGACAGAGACTCCGGATGAAAGGAGAATCCGAACAACTTCTAAATGACCTTTTTGAGCAGCAAAGTGTATCGCACCCATGTCATCCATGGCGGCAGCACCAACATCAGCCTTGTTCTTGCAGAGGTAACTCACTACTTGTGCCTGCCCTGACCATGCTGCTAGATGTAGTCTAGGATTCAGGGTCACTTAAATCAAGGAAGCAAACAACTAACAAAAAGAAAAAGCAAATTTGAAAAGAAAGCATGGGTGGCCAATTCGAATTCATTACCCTTTTAACTTTCATAGCGCCCAAAAGTTTCATATATACATATCATCAATAAAACAGCTGCTTCTTACCCCAAGTTCTCAAACTAAAACACTTTCATTTAACTATTGAACAAGCTATAAAGATTTCTAGGCAATGGACACATCCACAAAGCAAAGGCAAAGGAACAATGCGTTTCAAGCAAGACTCATGCAAAGGTCTGTATGACAACCAAGAGACTATCAAGCTAGCTGGACCTTCTTAGTTCTGAGAGAATCTGAGAATCAAGAGCAGAAAATGCAGAATTGCAGAGAAGGAAGAAGAAGAAATAGAGAGGAAGAAGATTCAAGAATTTGCTTCACACACTTTTATTCTCACAATCTGTTGTACCGGATATGATGATGCACAAATTAGTTTGCACACCACTAGTCAAGTTGTAGTATAAAATGCAGTAAGTAGAAGAAGAAAGAAGACAGGATTTATAGTGGTTCGGTCAATACGACCTACGTCCACTTTGAATGACTAGGTTTGCCGGAATTTTATTATCTCCGGTGTGGAGGGAGAGCACATGATTACAAGCTTTGAGAGTGGATGAGAGAATTATGCTCAAATGAATCTGATGCCCCTCAAGTGTTGGGGGAACTTACAATTTATAGTGGCTTGGCATAGTAATTGTATGACTAGTCTGACGGTCATAATGGACTTAGGACCGTTTGATAGTAATTAGGTAGCTGATTTGGCGGAGGCGACCTATCATCTTCTCAATGGGCGAGGTGTGACGGTTGGTGTGCTCTCCAAAGGACTTGTTCAAGGATGAGGGAGGTTAACTCTCTCCAGGTTGCGAGGGTGAAACTTCTTGGATGACCTTTAATCCAAGGCGGTAGAAGAGACTCTTACTCTAAGGTGGTAGAGGAGGAGGCTCTTGGATGACCTTGCCTGCTTCTTGCTGATGTAGTAGCTCCTTGAGCCTGATGAGCTTGATCGGGTTGACCACATTGGGTTGAATTTGTCAGATCTCTTGGAGTCGGGCTATAAACTCAGACCGGACTTATAACACAAGTTGGGCCTTTGGGCTTGGCCCATCATTTGCCCCCCCCAATGCCCTGCGTGACGGAACTTGAAAAGGAGGGCATTCAAATTGAATTTGAGTTTTCACTGACCGGCATAACCGGAAAAACTTCGGGAGGCTGTGAGTTTTGTAGGGCTCACCAAGAACTTCGATTTGATATATTATAAGCCTCATTTCGAGTAACAGAGTAAAAGTTACGGTCAAAACTTCGAGCAGAGAGCTAAGCGAGCGGTTTGGGCGAGCAAGGCACTATTTTGAGTGAGAAGCACTGTTCTAGGCGAGCAGTATTGATTTGGGAGAGCAAAAAAAAATTTTTTTTTTTTTTAAAAAACTTCAGGAGGCCAAAACACCTCTTTCTGGGTGTTTTTTGGACTTTTTTTAAAAATCTCATTACCAAAGGTAATGAGTTTTGCTCAGCTCGTCGGGAGTTTCGATTTGGTATATAATAAGTCTTATTTTGAACTTCGGATCAAAAGTTTCAGTCAAAATAGCGTGCAGCGGCCGGGTGCAAGGCTTTGGGCAAGCAGACACCCTCCTGGACGAGCAAACAATTTTTTTTTAGGAGGCCAAAACATCTCTTTCTAGGCATTTTTGGGACTTTTTTTTGAAAAGTACATTACCAAAGGTAATGACTTTTGCTCAGCTCGTCGAGAGCTTCGATTTGATATATAATATGTCCCATTTTGACTTGCGTAGCAAAATTTACGGCCAAAATAACGAGCAGACGTGTTGGCGCACAGTTTTGGGCAAGTAGACACTGCTCTGGGCGACCATGCAGCTGGACACGCTGTTTTGGGCGAACAAAAGGCCTTAGGTGAGCTTGGGAATTGCCTAAGCGCCACTCCAGGTCGTCTTGAGGAGTAACCTGCTCGCGTAGGAAGGGTGGTCTGGCGTGGAGATGGGAAGGCAGGCGCCGAGAAGGGCCCAGGCGGCATCGCTGTGCGTTGCTACAGTTCGTGCAGTAGGTGAGGGGGCTGCTCGAGTCTTCATGCATGCTGGCCTGCACGCTGGGTGTGTTGATCTGGTCCATCAAGCACCTAGGGGAGCTGATCCTGGTGAGCAAGGAGGTGGAAAGAAGACTAGTCTTGGCGTGAAGGCACCAAGAGGCACCATTTTGGGCGAGCACAAATGGTTGCGTGCTGATCTGGTCCATCAAGCACCTAGGGGAGCTGATCCTGGTGAGCAAGGAGGTGGAAAGAAGACTAGTCTTGGCGTGAAGGCACCAAGAGGCACCATTTTGGGCGAGCACAAATGGTTGGGCGTCTGCAGGACTACTTCGCTTGTACGAACAAAGGGGGCCAGACACCTCTCTAGGCACTGGGCTGCCCATTTGGGCGAGCAGAGGAGGTCAAGCACCTCTCTAGGCACTGGGTTGAATAGTGCAAGCTACAAGGCAATTTTGGGTGCCACTTTTGGTGATGATTTGAGGAGTTTAGGTAGCCAAGGAGCTTTGGATGCCCTTGTAGGGAGTTCAGTTCTCGCCCATGCAGGCGGGGTTGCCCAGGAATTTCTTGGCGAGCTTGGTTCTGGAGCCCAGGGGCAGAGTACGCCAGACACTTTCAGCGGTGATGGTCCAGCTCCTCTTAGTGCACCTTCTTAAAATCAAATTCTTCCATGATATTCTGAGGATTGTTTCTGCCTATCACATCCCCCAACGATTCTATGTCGCCGTACTGAGATGGGTGAACCTGCTTATGATGACAAAAATAAGGTTATTCCAAATATTAAGATATTTAACATGATTACCTAAAGAGAGAGGCAGGTTGCTTGCGCGAGAGCAAGACAAAGTTTGAGGATTACTCGTGAGAGAGCTACACCTTTTGAGACTGAGTTTTTGGCGACCCATGAGAGAGTATTTAAGCTTGAGGTATAGGCTACTTGCTTGAGAGCAAAGCAGATGCCAAACTTTTTTGGCGACTCGTGAGAGAGCCAGGAGATAGACTGCTTGTTTGAGAACAGTATAGAGGTCAAGCTTTTTTGGCGACCTGCGAGAGAGCCGCTAAGTTGGAGATAGGCTGCCTGTTTGAGAACAGTGCAGAGGTAAGCAAGCTTTTTGGCGACCCTTGAGAGAGCCGTTAAACTGGAGATAGACTACCTGTTTAAGAACAGTGTAAAGGTAAGCCAAGCTTTTTGGCGACCCTCGAGAGAGCCGCTAAGCTGGAGATAAACTACCTGTTTAAGAACAGTGTAGAGGCAGGTCAAGCTTTTAGCGATCTGTGAGATGATTCACCTCGATTGGACCTGTTGATTTCCTCAGCATTCATAAATTTTTGAACTTTTGTCAATAGTTCTGGCATGCTCTTTGGTGGGAGTTTCATCACAGAGAAAAGGAAGCTCGATGACCGAAGGCCTCCTAAGAAGGCGGTCATGATGACTTTTTCATCAGGCTCTTCGACCTGAAAGACCTCCTCATTAAAACGAGTGAGGTAGCTTCGCAGGCTCTCATCTCGGTCCTGCTTTATGCTGAGTAGATGGGCGATAGGCTTTTGGTGACGGCGTCCTCCAATAAAGTGCAACACGAAGGACCTGCTCAGCTCAGTAAATGAGCCGATGGAAGCGGGGGTGATCTTGGCGAACCACTGTCGAGCGGATCCCTTCAAGATGGTTGGGAACGCTCTGTACATGATTTCGTCAGGGATGTTGTGCAGTTGCATCAAGGTCTTAAAAGTTTCAAGGTGGTCCAATGGATCCTTCATACTATCAAAGGTTTCGACGGATGACATCTTGAGTTTTTGAGGGAGTGGGTAGTTCGCCACGTCAGGTTTGAAAGGTGTGTCGGTTCGACTTACAAGGTAATCCACTATCTCGGGTCCTCGTACCTTCTTGGCGTTGAAGACATCACCCAATTGATTCTACACCTCCTTAATTTTTTTGTCTCAATAATTCGGAGGAGGTCCCTTAGAATTACCATGGATATGGCACCCATGTGGGTAGCTCCTTGACGCCCAGGATGTGGAGCTCCTCTGACTTAAGGTCTAGGTTGTGTTATTCCTCCTAGATGAGGAACACCCATGTAGGGAGCTCCTTGATGCCTAGGGCATGGAGCTCTTCTGACTTGAGGTCCAGGCTGTGCTCCTCCTCTTAGATGAGGAGTGCCCATGTGGAGAACTCCTTGACGCCCAAGGAGCATTAGTTGTAGGATTTGTTGGTTCTGGGCCGCAAGTTGCTGCATGGTCTCGAGCATCTGCTGCTTATTTGAGGCAGAATTGGTTGGTTGAGGAGCAACCTCCTCCTCACTTGGTGGTGGATTATCTTCAGGCTAATTCATGGATCTGTTGATGATCGACCTCCTCCTCTCTTGGTGGTGGATTATCTTCAGGCTAATTCATGGATCTGTTGGTGATCGACTTTAACTCAGCAAAGGAAAATGGCTAGGTGAGAACTGTCGTTCCCACAGACGGCGTCAAACTGATGATGCACAAATTAGTTTGCACATCACTAATCAAGTTATAATATAAAATGCAGTAAGTAGAAGAAGAGAAAAGACAGGATTTATACTGGTTCGGTCAATACGACCTACGTCCACTTTGAATGGCTAGGTTCGCCGGAATTTTATTATCTCCGGTGTGGAGGGAGAGCCCATGATTACAAGCTTTGAAAGGGGATGAGAGAATTATGCTCAAATGAGTCTGATGCCCCCCAAGTGTTGGGGGAACTTACAATTTATAGTGGCTTGACATAGTAATTGTATGACTAGTCTGACGGTCATAATGGCTTAGGACCGTTTGATAGTAATTAGGTAGCTGATATGGCGGAGGCGACCTATCATCTTCTCAACAGGCGAGGTGGTGACGGTTGGTGTGCTCTCCAAAGGACTTGTTCAAGGATGAAGGAGGTTGATTCTCTCTAGGCTGCGAGGGTGAGGCTCCTGGATGCTCCCTTGGTGACGTAGAGGAGACTCTTGGATAACCCTTACTCCAAGGTGGTAGAGGAGGAGACTCTTGGATGGCCTTGCCTGCTCCTTGCTGATATAGTAGCTCCTTGAGCCTGATGAGCTTGACCGGGTTGACTACATTGGGTTGAATTTGTTGGATCTCATAGAGTTGGGCTATAAACTCGGACCGGGCTTATAACACAAGTTGGGCCTTTGGGCTTGGCCCATCAGGATACACATGTATATATATAGATGCCATTACACTCCATTCGTTATGCAACTTAGAGCAGCATACCTACATCACTCCACTATTAACAAACTTCACTAACAGAAATCTAACTGCCTAACTAATCTAACTTAATCACGTGGGTTATTGAGTTCTTGGTTTCTATTGCATATAGCTGATACAGTGAAGTCGAATATATACATATTCTGCCACTGTCTTTATGCTAAAAAACATTGCTAATAATTCAATTTACGACTCTAGGTATAGATAGCCATCCAAACTTTGCAACAAATTACTCCTTTCAGTCATTTCATCTGTACATAAGAATATGTATCCTTAGCTCGCAAGTAATCCTACAAAGAGAAGCCAAAGTGGTGCCTCCCAATACCTAATTCCAAAATTGAAATCTTTCAAAATTATTTGCAGTAGTTGGCACACATATTTATCTAGCTTCACTAACCTCTGAATTTTCCACATTTCCCATCACCCAACTATACTTGGCTGCAATAACACAATTTAAAGCTTAGATACTTCCCAAGCGATGTGTAATTTATCAATTAAGAAGTGATAATCAAATAAACCCCCATAACAACCACAAAACATCATACTTTGTACCAACTTTTGGTCATGGTATCTGTGATGGCCCAAGAAAACAATAGCAGTAAGACAGATTCTATACAGTATCTCGTTGTTTCTAATTGTTATTTACGCAGTGGTAGGACACACTCAAGTTTAAAAATGCTGACAAGTTCAAGACGTAGAGATATAATCGTTTTCTTACGGATATACAAAACAAAGAATCACATACCCATATAACTTCCTTCCAATTTTTCGTTAATACATCAGAAGATCACTACAACATACATCAATATACATTAAATAGGCGTTGGAATTGTCAGGATATAGTTTTGCTGTCCCTCTTGAAAAAAATAATAATACAAATTTAAGACTTAAATGCATATATATTTTCTCCTCCTCAAAGAATATTTTCTTAGAAAACAAACGCACCCATTTACTAAATCCAGCAGTACCCAGTTTCAATTTCCAGTAAATTGTTCATTAACCATTTCCGATTTTCCCCAAAAGCAAAGAACAAGACTAGCACAATTTAATTGAGTAGAGAAGAAAGTAGTAGTAAAAAGAAGGATACGGGGTTCTGGAGTGCTTATCTCTGGAATTAATGGCCAAAGGATTTGAGCTGCATATTGTCTGCACAGCGAGCAAGTCTCCTGATCGAGCGGCCGTGTGAAGATCTTCGTTCGAATTTGATGGATTCTTTGGATTTCCCATTCTTGTTCTCTCTCGACTCTTTTTAACCCTCCTGTGTTTTTTCGGGGAGAGAGTAAAATAAAATGTACTTTCCCCCTGTTCTCAATCCTTCTTCTTTCTGAATTTCCCTTCAATTTCCTTCCCTTTTTCTTTCCACCTCACAAATTTTTATTTTTTTTAAACCCAAATTTAAATTTAGATAAAAAACTCTTGAAAATTTTCTTCAACACTAAATGCATACACATATCAAATCAAGAAAGACTTATTTTTTTAGTTATATATATTTGAATTCAAAATTAAAAAATTTAAAATATATATGTTCTCTAGTAATTGTCCGTGCCTGAAGGCACGGCGTAACGAAATCAAAATAGTCTCATGTAACCTAAAACTCAAAGAATCCTATATTACCTAAAGACTCTTTGCAACCTAAAACAACTTGTCAATTTGAAATCAAAGTAGTCCATAATAATATTCAGAAATTTCGGCATAATTTTTTTAAAAATAGCAACTTATAAAAATCTAAACCTATTTACAAAACTTACAATTATACATAACAATCATCATAATTCACTATACCACCACAATAATCAATACACACTCAATTATCAACACATATCCAACCACCAAAACATCAAGCTAGTCCTTACTAATTTCAAGAAATTTGGACAGAATTTTTTCTAAAAATATAAGCCCAAAAAAATCTAAACATGTCTATAAAACTTACAATTATACATATCACCACAATCATCATACATAACAATCATCATTATTCACTGTACCACCACAATAATCAATACATATTCAATCATCAACACATATCCAACCACCAAAACATCAAGTTAGTCCCCACTAATTTCAAGAAATTTGGATAGAATTTCCTCTAAAAATAGAAGTCCAAAAAAATCTAAGCCTGTCATAAAACTTACAATTATACATATCGCCGCAATCATTATAACCATGTTTATCTAAACACCAAAACAAAACCATCATAACCATGTATAATTAGTTAATTGTACAAAAAATAAAACACAAAAAATATACACATGCATAAATAGAGAAACACATTCAATTTCATCTTCATATCCTTCCATGTATACCTGAAAATATTTGAAATATAATCAATTATCGAAATATATGAGGCAACATAAAACAATTGTAAATCCGAAATATAAGACCCCTTACTTTTATTGTTAGTTGGATTAACATAAAATTGATAATTATATCACTGTCCCAAATTTTGTCGCAAGTGCCACAAACACATTTAGCAAGACTTTGGAATCAAATATGACCCAATAAACCCACAATCTCTTTTCCAACTGTCAAACAAAAACCAACTATTTTTTAATGAATCACCAACAAATATTAGGTTGGCGAGATTTTGAAAACATTTATCCACTTTAAATCAATAAAGTCATCCCATAATATCCTTCTAAGCATAAAACCAAATTCAGCATCATTTGATTATACAATTGTTGAAATGTTCGAAATTTCATTCTAAGGGATTTAACATATTTCCCATTAACACATATCTAAAGATGTCAAATTGTGTGTTTGTTAATATTCATTTATTACGAATTCAAGACCAAATGGCATGGAATCCAACCAATCTGGATTTACAGAGACTCAATTCCTGCTCCATTCTCACTGTTAGTTAAAACCTAATCACATAACACGAATGCTCTGTTCCTTCCCTTAAATTCCGCAATATTGTAGTATTTTTTTCAGTGCAAAAATCCACAAATCAATCGGAGCAAAAAATGCCCCGAATTCAATTCAATGTAGTAAAAAACCTATGCAATTGAGCAGTGAAACTACCGGAATTGGACAGAGAATTGGTAGTTCTTCCGCATGAAGTAGCAGTGGCTGTTTAAGACGAATAACTTGAGACGAATAACGGAGTCTCCTTTGCAAAGTAGATACTGCTTGAGTGTTGTTGGGGCTGCATAGATTCCAAACCAAACAAACCCAGAAAACAGGTCAACTGCATGACATATTTGTTCACTAAGTATATAGCAGCAAACCATGGATAGTTATGAGAACTAAACAAATAGACATATTAGTACCCTGTAGATCATCATTTAAGCATGAAATCAAATGACCAACATAAAAAGTTAAATACAACAAAATAAAAAAGCACAACCTCAGTAGCAAGGTAGCTTCATAGAATCCATTCTTGGTCTACGACAACACCAACTAACATAAGTTCTTCTAAATTCTAAATTCTAAATTGCACAAACCAAGACAAAGGAATGGCAATAAACAACAAATTGACTAAACACAACTCGATATAAGAAATTAATGATATGTCTTTATTGTCAATCCAACACACCCATCTATCCATCCATCCATATATATAGACAGGAGGAATAAAACTTGTGGCAACTCTATGCGATGGAAGAAACTTGCAATATCTCTTTATTGTCAACCCAACACAATAAAGAAAAGTTGAAGCAAAAAAAAAAGTCGTAATCTAAGTTGAAGTCGCAATAATCTCAAATGCAATTGATATAAATCATTCCCAATTTTAAATTTGTCATCTAAGTTGAAGCAAAAAAATTTCAATTGATATTAAATCATTCCCAATTTCAAACAAATAAGTCATAATTTTAGTTCAAAGAAAAAGTTCATAATCTACATAATTCACAGCAAGCAATTTATATTTGTATCCGGTCATGAACTATGCTTCTATACCAATAAAAGTCAATGCGATGAATAAACGTTTGTATAAAAAAACTAAACCTTAAGCAACAAACTAAACTAACAACTAAGTATCAAAAAAATGAACTCGCCATGCAAAAGTAATGTAGTAATCAACATAACAAAAACAACACAATAAAGAAAAGTACTTGAAGAGCATTTAAAATACTATAAAATATAAGCGGAACTGTATTCAATGTCAGTATGCACAATTCCCCATAAATTCTGTAACAATTGTTCCATGATTCCTCTAAAAATAGAATCCTATAAAAATTTCAACCTGTATGCACAATTTAAAGTCTAAAAGGCTACTAATCGACTCTTAGATTTTTAAAGTCACAATTAAGAACAAATCTAAATGCAACATATGTAGCTGATTGCTATATCAAAGAGTAACCATACGTAACTGATTGCTTTTAGAGTTATGAGTAACCATATCAGAAGAAGCAACATTCTCCATCCCTAGTATAGCTGAATAGTAACTGATTACTTTTAGAGAGAGAAGATATGTATCAGAAGCATTGAACAGATATGTACCAAAGCATTGAATAACAAAAATTTTTTTTAAAAAAAATCCAACATTGATCATGAACACAAAAAAATCAAAAACTGAATATGGGCACACATTAGGCTCAACCAAATCATTGAACGCCTAAACTACATGCTCAACAAAGCATTATCTGTATAAAGATTCTCATGAAAACAAATTTTAATGAAGAGATAGAGACAACTCAATTACATAAATTTAAACTGAATGCACTTGAAAGCAATTCTCCAAACACAAACACAATGCTATGGCACACAGAAAATATTTGAAAGCTCAGAACATAAAAATCGAAGGAGATGCAAGAGAGGGAGATGCGAAATAGGCAAGAATAAAAGAAGTTAGAAGGACAATAGAGAGAACGAAGATATGAGAGAGTGCAATAGATGAGAGGGGCAGTAAACATGAGAAATGCACTTGCACTCTAACTAAAAGAATATGATAAACAAAAGCCATCATTCTCAGAAAAACTAAAAACTAACTAAAGCATAAGTTTTTTAGTGTCTCACAGGCTCAAGAGGTCCCAAATCCAGAAAGACAAATAATTGGATGTCGTACATGTTTCATCATTGCAACCTCATGAACAAAAGGAAAACTAAAAAAACCAAAAATAGTGATACCAAGAAAATCAAATAGTTAATAAGAAAACTATAGGAAGAGCTATCCCCAATTTCAGGTTAAAAGACAAATATTTTCACTAAAGCAAATTATAGGTAAAACATACCTCACTCTGAAAATACTTGAAGTGCCCTTAATGAAAATCTTGCTTCATGAGAATTGTGACTGTGACATTCTAAGATTTACAAAAAAAAAAAGGATTGAAATTAGATGTGAGATGTGAGATCTATGTGTGTTGTGTGCATGAGATGAAAAAAAAGAGGTGAGACAGAGAAAGATGAATTTGGCAGATTTGGCAGAGGGCATGGCCCTTTGAGTGTCTAACAGGCCAATGACCGTTGAAAAATAAAATGAAATATTAAGTTAATAAATTAAGTGTAAATAGCATGTAGACCAAATTTATTATTTGAATTAGTCCTAATAATAGTTACCTTAGGATTGGTAATAACAGGAGCCAAACCTGTGACTGCGACCCCTGTGAAACCATTATAAACCAACTGCCACGTGTAGCCACGCAGCGTCTGCTCCTTCTGCATGGTTCGCCTTCGACTCATCGGCAATTATCGTCGTTGCAGTGTTTGCAAGGCTGAGTCCACTTTTATCTTCGTCACCAGGGTAAGTAATTAGTAAGAGAATAGCCTTTCCTTTTTCACTCATACCTAAAACAACATACTTGTTCTCTTTCTTACTTATATAGTCTCTGATCAATTGATACATTATATTGGCGTATGCACATTCTTTCCTTTAGTCATCATGAATCGGCGATATTATGCGAGAATAAATAGTTAATCCACTTATGTACTATGAAGCACATAAATTTCTTTTGCTTTGTGGGATATTGCATCGAATTTAGAAACGACTGGTGGAGCAATATGTATACTTTTTAATTCGAGTTTCTATCATGAAAAACTGTATGGCTTTAATGTTCTTAATGTCTTAGCAACAGGTACTGTTAAGCAAATTAGTTTGTCATGTTCCTTTAATTA